GTCTGTGTCAAAGGGGATGGCAAGTTGAGAGTAATAAATAAAAAAATATAGACACATACTATTTCTGTCTGCCTGCCTGCGTGCACTACTTCTGTATAATTAAAAAACGTTTATGATATGTACTAGATACACGATCCCGTGTCAATACGAGGCCCAATATATATTACTAATTTTTTTTCTCAATGTGATATCATGAAACTTGACAATTTATCAAAAAATTTATATGATTTTATAAATATTTTAAGTTGTTAATTATTGTAATTTATAGTACTTTTTTTTTACATAATTTTAAAATAATAGTATATATTATTCTCTTTGTTTTAATTTATGTGGCATATATAGGATTTCAAAAAAATTAACTTTTTTTTGTCTTTTAAATATATTAAATTATTTATTATTGTAATTTATAATACCTTTTTAATGTAATTTTCAAATAATATATGTTACTTTTCATGTCTAAAGTTATGTGACATTGATAGATTTTTTGGAGTCAAGTGATTTTTATATATATTTTAATTCTTTTAAAATTATTAATTATTGTGATAGGACATATAAGTGTTTGTTTTGATTGACCTATTTTAGGTATTTTTAAGTCAAAATAGCTTTTAAGTAATTTTGAAGTGTTTGAATAAAGTTAAAAAGTGCTTATTATTTAAAGTCAAAATAACAAAAATAAGTCAAAAGTCATAAGTTAAAAATTCTAACGTATGGCTTTTAACTTATAAGTCATAAGCCAAAAGTCAATTCAAACAAGCCCAAGCCATTAGGTAAAGGGCTAATTACTTGAGTGGATCCCTTTTAAAAAATAATTACTTATTTTAAATATACTATTTAATTATTACCATTTATAGCAATATATAACAATACTATATATTTTATTAGATTTGTCTCTCTCTTGCCTCTTTCTCCCTTTTCTCTCTCGCTCTTTCTCCCTTTTTTTTCTTTATGTTGTTCTTTCTCTTTTGTTTTTCTTTTTGCTGGTTTTTTTTTTGTTGCTCTTTCTCTTACTTTTTTTCCCTTTCTCTCTCTCTATTTTCTTTTGTAGAGTAGTTAATGATTCGTAGACTAAATAAAATTTGTATCAATAATTAATTAATTAGGCAAGTAATCTAATCGTAACAAATGAAGAGACATAATAAATTGCAAAATGAATTAAATTTACATTAAAAATGTATTCCACAAATATTAAAGTTGAATTAGTAGAGAATTAAATATGAATGCAAAATGTAGCAAACCAAATAGCATTCTATGTAAACTGAATGAATTTGTATCAACAATGAATTTCACAAGTAATTCAATCGTAACAAATCAATAAATTACAAAATGAATTAAAATTGTATTTAAAAGTGTATTACACAAATATTAAACAAGTAAATAAATTAAATTTGCTTTAAAATTGTATTACACGATATTAAAGTTGAATTAGAAGAGAAAATTAAGAATGAATGAAAAACATAACTAACGAAAGACAAGACACCGACCTATAAACTGAATTAAATTTGTAGTATTCATGAATAAAACATGTATTATATGTGTCTAATAAATTATTTTGGATTTGTATTACTAAGAACGTAAGTGATGTTTGCAATATGTATTAAAGATGTATTGTGCATATATTATAAGTGTGTTACCTAAATTGTTTTAGTTGATATCATTAAAAAGGGAGTGAAATTTGCAATATGTATTATAAATGTAGGATGTATTGTTCATGAATTTTATACAATTTTAATACAATTATGAAACATATCTAATACAACTTTAATACAAACCCGATATAGTTCCATAAACTTCATCCTTTTCGTGCTTCAATCTAGTATTTCTCCTAAAATCAATTCTAAACTTAATCAAACCCTCTTAAAATTGAGATATAAACTCCAAAAAGATATTTTCAATTATTTGTAGGAACAACCTATCCTAACTAATCGCAAACGAAAGAGCAGACAAGTAATCTAATCATAACAAATGAAGAAACATAATAAACTGCCGAATGAATTAAAGTTGAATTAAAAATGTATTACACACATATTAAAGTTGAATTAGAAGCGAATTAAACATGAATGCAAAATGTAGCAAACTAAAAAGCATTATGTGATTTGTAAACTAAATAAAACTTGTATCAATAATGAAATAATCAAGTAATTCAATCGTAACAAATCAACCAATAAACTGCAAAATGAATTAACTTGTATTAAAAGTGTATTACACAAATATTAAAATTGAATTAGAAGAGAGAATTAAGCACGAATAAAAAATTTAACTAATGAAAGAGCAGCCAATGATCTACAAAGTGAATTAAGCTTATATAAAAAATGAATTAAACAAGTAATCTAATAGTAACACATAATAAACTACAAAATGAATTAAATTTGCATTAAAAGTGTACACAATATTAAAGTTGAATTAGAAGAGAAAATTAAAAATAAATGAAAAACGTAATTAACGAAAGACAAGACAATAATCTATAGACTGAATTAAACTTGTATTATTCATGAATAAAACATGTATTATATGTGTTATAAATTATTTTGGTTTGTATCACTAAGAACATGAGTGATGTTTGCAATATATATTAAAAATGTAGTGTGCATGTATTATAAATGTATTATTAAGTGTGTTACCTAAATCATTTGGTTGGTCTCACTAAGAAGAGAGTAAAGTTTGCAATATGAATTATAAATATACTGTTCATTATTTTAATACAATTATAAAACATATCTAATTCAACTTTAATACAATTGCGATATAGTTTCATAAACTTTACCTTTTTTGAGTTTCAATCTTATATTTCTCCTAAAATCAATTATAAACTTAACTGAACCCTCTTAAAATTGAGATATAAACTTTAAACTGCATTTTCAATTATTTGTAGGATCAACCAATCCAAACTAATCACGAGTTCGTAAGATTCATAAAATGAATTCAAAATTTGAAGCTTTATAGTGACCATCAATGGTGAATTCTTGTTGTTGTAATTTTAGAGATTTGAAATTTTTGTTTGAGAATATGATATTGTAAAAAAAAATTATTTTTTTATTTCTCTTCTCGTCGTGTTTTTGGATAAAAATTGATTTGAGAATAATTATTTAAATGAAAATTTTAAAAGAAGAAGAAGAAGAATAAAAAAAGAAGAGGAGGAAGAGAGAATAACACAGAAAGAGACGAAAAGAAGAAAAATAAAAAGAAGAAGATGAGGAAGAGAAAAAGGACAGAGAAAGAGGTGAAGCGGTACAATTTTTTAATCCAAAAAATTGTTATATTAAGTTAGAAAAATTATATTGCCATAGATGGTAAATATTTTCTTAATATATCATATTTATGTGATTTTCCCTTAGGTAAATACTGATTCGTTTTTGGGTCCAATAAAAAAAAGAAACAATCTTAAAGCAAGAGGATACAAAGGCTTAAGGAAAAAAAAAAGTAGAAAGTTACGAAAATGTCCTTGTCATACAAGCAGGCATGTTGACGAAGACATGCCTGCTTGTAGACTCTTCTACTAAGTATAAATAAATAAATAAATATAAAATATACTTTGTATTCTTTAAAATCTAACTCATGAAGAAACCCCAAAACAAATTGTACGCGAGTGATGGAAAATAGATCATTTAAGATATTATGTGAATCAGTACATGGAAACTTATATAAATTTCACTAGTTTAGAAGTTAATTATTTAGATGTATTCTAATTTAAAATATTACGTATCTTAAAAGATTTTGGTACTTCTGAATATGTCCAAATAGCAATAAAAAGTTTTATAAGACAATCATTCACTTTAAAATCGAAAATGAATACGATACAATTCACCAAATGATCAAGTTAGAAAATGATTTCTATTTTGATTCTATAAAAAAACAATTTTTCTTTTTGAATGAAGTTAGTATAGTATCAGGCTTATTTTTCAATAAAATAATAGGTGGCAACTTAACTAGGCCTACATACCCTGGTACGATCAAGGAGTACTTGATTTTGATTGATAGTGAAAATTAGGAGTAGTTGTACCTGGCCAATATAGTATACCTAATTCAACATGATGTTTCCTTTTACAAGAATGGTTCGTATAATCAGAAGGCAGTCCATATATTAGTTAAGGTCCCACTTTTCAATTACTGAAGAGTTACTGACATTAATGTCAAATGCTACAAAAACAAAAAATACCAAATGCTATCTTGTCTTTTAATGTGTGCTGCATTCGAGCCACATAGTTTCTGCCTAATATATCATGTTTAGTTTCTGCCGCGTATATCATATTGACATAAAATATACTTCTATATTTCAATCATGTCATTAATCGAAAGGTACGATTAATATATAAAATTAAAAATTAAGAAGAGTAGCATATATAAGACTAATAATCATTGAATTTAATGAAATCAATATACATTAGCATTATGATTGTCATGTTACAGGTAGTATGTCAACAATTGATTAGTACCTACAATTTTGACCGAAAAATTATCGAAAATAAGCTTTGATTCGATAATATTCAAACAAATTACGTAGTAAATATTCATATAGCATTGTCGAAAGCACCATATATAATTACAAACCATCAGCATCTCTTTTAGTTTAATGTGTCAATCAATAAAATTATTAAAAAGCAATAATTTACGTTAAAATGAATATTACAGCTATCTAAATAATAAAAGGTTAAAAAATTATTCAACTAAATAATAATTTTATCTATCGCATAATTGTATGAAGAAGAGAAAAAAAATTCAATCGATTTCTTTTCCGGGACGCCCAGCAGTTAAAGGCCACAAGAATAGGCGGTGTCGTTTAAGCCTACTTGCCCCATAGTTTTTGAGGGGCAGAAACGTAAAAGCAACGCAACAAGGTTACAAACTCCGAACCGTTGAGAATGTTTTTGTTTCACTCTTATTTGTCTTCTTACTTTTGCGTACTTACTGTTCGACCTCGGAGGGGTTAATGCTATACCCTATATATATATGTATTATCCCTCAGTTTAGTACACTCTTCGATTCATCATTTGTAGAAGAAATCAAAAATGAAGGTGCTTATGTTGTTACGACAGCAGCAAAATTCAATAGCGTATTGTGTGAAAGAGAATAAACCATGTGTTGTTGGTTGGGTGAATTTGTATTTCAAAGATTGCCTTTGCAATGTCCGCGATGAATTCTCTTTCGGTTTTGGTTTTGTAAGCCTCATCTGTTGGGCTGTTGCCGAAATCCCACAAATTGTCACCAACTTTCGAACCAAATCTAGCCATGGCGTTTCACTTGTTTTCCTTCTTGGTTGGGTTATCGGGTAATTAATTTTATCGGTCATTACTCCATTTTCTTCAATTTCACAATGTTTAATTTATTTTTTTCTGAACTATAAATCTCATTATTTTATTCGATGCAGTGACGTATTCAATCTAACAGGCTGCCTTCTGGAGCCTGCAACGGTGAGTAGCTTAAAATATCATTAAATTAATTAGGTTTAATTAATGTTTCTCATCTTTTGGTATTCTTTTCTCTTCATGCAGTTGCCAACCCAATTGTACACAGCTGTGGTAATGCAATCTTTTTATTTACCAATTAATCATATGAGTGGTATTTTTTTTTTCTATTTAATGATCTGTTATGGAACAGCTTTACACAGCGACTACTATCATACTAGTGCTGCAAATCTTATACTATGATTATTTCTATAAGTGCTGGAAGCGCAGTGAAAATGAGACTGGACAATTAGAGGTACAGATTAAACATTCTTAAGCTTGTAATTTACTGATCAATTAATTTAATGACACAATAATCGTTGAAGAAAGATGATTTATGATTAACTTTAATTAGGTTGAAGAGATACTGAAGAAGCCATTGAGACCTCAAAAAACAACAGATTCGGGAATTCCAATACCCAGCAGATCTGCATCACGCCCCATGGACTACTATTTCACGTGAGTGTTTTTTTCTCAATTTTTCCCGTGTCTTTTATATACAAGTAGTTAATTGATATGTTTGTATGTTAATTTATTACTCAAATATGGTAAATTAACATGATTTGTTTTACGCTATCCGTGTTTATGAAACTAAGGAAGTAGTCAGTTTTTCGCGTGGATTAATTAGATTAATTTATTGCTAAGTATGGAACAGGTCTGCAAGATCATTGGCTGGTAGTTCAACCCCGCCATTCAGGTCGAATCTGAGGCCTATAGCAAGTGATCCATCAGCAGTGGGGCTTAATAACCATGATTACTCTTCAGATGATGATACAGTTGATGCACCATTAAATATTTCTGTTAGCCAACCTAAGCCTATCCCTCGATCTGTAAGTGAATTAGTTCTATTAATTCTTGTATTGATTTGTTAGTGTTGGTGTTTAGTTTAGTGCAAGTTGAAAATTTTCTGCTGTCGCTACTTGTTTATAATATTGTGCACTTACTATATGTACTGTGAAATATTGCTGGTCCCAATATATGAGACAAGTAACCAATATTCCCATAGGCATAATGCCCAAAAGCCAAGTCGAGAGGGTTTCTCTACTTTGTCCACTTCCTAAATATATGTAATGTGAAATATTGATGGTCAGAGATTCAGAGTATATGCCCAAAGCATCATTTATTTATATAATTCCCAGAGTCCTTATGCCCAAAGGCAAGTTGAGAGGGGTTTCTCCTCTCCTTGGCGGAGCCTCAAGGGATCTGAAAAAAATGCAAGTATATCACACCTAAAATTCGAATATATGACCTCAAATGATTTTGAGTTAAATTTACCGCTGTCCTCTACACCAGAATTTCCTTATGTCAAAGGGATTTGACAATTTATATACTCCATAATAAAGAATCATTTTTCCATAATTTTTTCGATGAATTAAGAAATTTAAAATTTAATTGAATCCACTTTGGACCATGTAGCTTCATTTTTAAACCTAAAAGTAATTTTATTTATTTTTCTTGGTCTGGGATGATAATATTTTCATAGTAGACGATTTTCAGGCAGGTTATGGAGCGTTCTTTGCAACAGTGTCTGGAATGCCTCACCAGACAAAAGCTTTACTTGTTGGATTTGGTGGAAGAAAACTATTACAAGTATGTTTCTTCAGTAATTGCATCTTAATATCATGAAACTTTCAGGGGTGATTCCGGACATATTTCTTTTCTGGCAGGAGCATGGGACGGAGCATAGTGCACTTGGCCAATGTTTGGGGTGGATGATGGCTGCTGTCTACATGGGCGGTCGGATACCTCAAATATGGTTAAATGTAAGTCATGATTCTTCACTTTATAATTTTAACAACATGCTAACAGTTAATGTTGCAGTCCCTATTTTGTCTAATGCAAAGCCATTGAACATATTTCTTTGTTTGACAGATTAAACGAGGGAGTGTCGAGGTAAATATTCTACAGAATTCTCTTCTGGACTTTCTTAAACTTTCATTTTGGGCATCAAGCAAAAGGCTAATGTGGATTCTTTTATCACCATGAACAGGGCTTAAATCCATTCATGTTCGTGTTTGCACTCATCGCCAATGTCACTTACGTAGGGAGGTAGTTTCCCCTTTATTTAACTCAGTATAGTTAGCATTTCTTACTATTTTGTTCTGCTTAAGTATATAAGTTAAATCGTACTGAATACATGAAAATTAATCTGTCATTAAAATGCATTCGGTAGCCTTCTACTAATTTATTTGCTTGTTATTATGTTTACATGATGCAGTATACTACTTAGATCAACAGAATGGAGTAAGATTAAAGCCAATATGCCTTGGTTGTTGGATGCTGTTGTCTGCGTTGTGCTAGACTTATTTGTATCCTCACATTTCTCCATTAATTTTGTCTTAGCAATTGCTCAAACAACACATATATCTGTTCTTTTCTTATACTACATACTAGTTTATTCATTTTTCCAAACTGTGGGGCCTTAACACAAGTATAGATCATATTACAGTATGTCTACTACAAATACTTGCGAAAGAATCCTTCCACTTCCAAAGGCAGAGAAGACGAAGGAGCCTACAAGAAAGCAAATAAAAATTGAGGACAAATTTCTACAGTATATGGCTAGATGGTGGCTACTTTACTGTAAAGCCTTGGGATCCCACTGCTAGATCTGCTACTAATTCGGAAGACTGTTGCAGCTAATCTCCTAGTAATCGGCTCTTACATCCCTTCTAAAGTTATCTAATTTATTTGACTTGACCTGTGTTATGTAATTAGTGATGAACTTACTTGCTTGTGATCAGAATCTTATTCTGCAGTGAGGAAAATTTTTGGAGAGGTTCTTTTAACTCGTATGCCTCTAGTTTAATATAGCTCTCGCGTACCTGATTACACATCTTCTTTAGTTTGAAATGTTTCATGTTTTTACATCTATACATCATAGAGCTGTATCTTAATCTATAAGGGGTATATTTCGTAAGCTTCTTTTATCGTCATGGACCGGTTTTTCAAGCATCGTATGTTCAACTTTTTCAATGTAATAGATAAAGAATATGGCCTGCAAATGATACGTGAAGCTTATGGGCCTCTTTCTTGGTCCAGAAAAGCTACGTACGTAATTTTGTATGACAAGGAGAAAATTTGCAGTCATTGATTTTTATCCTTGACTGCTTGTAAACAACTAGGACAATGAATTAATGTTTGTCAATTGGTTCCTTGTGACGAAGTTATATCAAGAATGTACACACTAAAATGCGGAGTGCAATTAAAAATCAACGTTGAAAGTAGCATGACTTGTTCGTATCTGCATTTAACAATGTACTCTATTTACGCAAGCCACATGATTGTATGAATGTGGACCGTGGTGCTGTGAACAAATTGTTGACGTTTCAATTAATAATGTGTGGCTGCTTGATCATTCAAAAGCTTTAGTTGATAGAGATTGACATATTTTTATTAGTTACTTCGATATATTTTCAACACATCACTTTATACGTGGGCTTGATACATTTTCACAATTTATAATCTAAAAAGTTAAAAAGTGCACCCTACAGTATTTTTTTTTCCAATAACCATTTATAATCCAATATTCACTTTCTCACTAATCATCTATTTATACTGCGTCGTTCACATCCTTATCGGAGGGGCATGGGGGTTCAATTACTCAAACTCGAGACATTAAGGGAGAAGGAATTTCATTCAAACTTGTTGATGGTAACTTGCACAGTTTTATTCATTTAATTATATAATAATGACATGAATCTCAAGAAAGCATCAACAAGTTTCTATTGAAATAATGAGTCACTATCAATAAAGACAGGACTCTTTCTATTGGGCTTCATAGCAATCCATTTGCGTATTCAGGGGCATAACTTATGGCTTAATAAGTTGCTCTACTCAGGAAGTTTACCGACAAAATCTTGACTACAGTTTCTCAATTAAAGCATGCTCTTGAAATTTATTTGACTTGTAAAAGGGCATATAATTAGAGCCTTTGACTAACTCTTAAACTTTGCTTCCTACATTGTTGTCTTTACATGTTTTACTAATTACAAACTTACTATACCAACTTTTGAAAAAGACAGAATTCGCACTAGAGTATATAATTCTTTATGTGCAGTGGCTCAGGTTCACTCAACTCCTTACTTTATTTTTGATTTAAAGATGAAAAATATTTCTTACTTGCTATATGTCCGGTGACAAGATTTAATATGAAACGCGTAAAATGCGGAATGACTTTGGTAGAATCTGTACATGTTTCATCCATGTGGTTTTGTTTTAAAATCTACCTGACTTGTCCCGCCAACACACACACAAACAAATCCCTCTCACTGCCGACACTTCTCCTCCTCCTCTCTTTTCCTCATCAAACTCTTGTGTGTGGTCGAGCCCAAATGACTTTCCATAAGTTTTTTTTTTTTTGTATGCCACAAATTATTTTTAAGGAAAATATTTTTCTACCACCAACAAAACATACACGGATGTCACCTTTTTTTTTACTTCCACCAATCTGACGTATATAAAAGATGACAAGGAAATCATAGAACGAGATTCACTTTAATCGCAAAAAGAAAAAGAGGAAAGTATGCTTGGTGAATTGAACAGGAGCTTAGACGTGAAGAAATGGATACTTCTATATTTAGATGAAATGAACAAACAGTACTCCTTTTTTTTCAATATTGTTTAGAAAAGCCTAAAATGGTGAGAGTGAGAAGATTGCAACTTAAAAAGATTCGCTGAATAGTAAGTACGTTAAATTTAGCATATCTCAAGAATACCATGAAATATTTAGCAGACAAGGAAGGCTGCGTTCTATAATAAACTTAATTGATCACAAATATATGATTTCATATCATACGTTGAAAAATAATACTCTAGCAAAGTACCAATGTAAAATTCTTGGCTAGCTACTGTATACTACTTATAATCTATGAAAATAGTAGACCTCACCTAGCCCTTCTGGGGTGACTAGCTCCACCAAAAGAAACAAATAAGTAGTAGTAGTAGTACCTTTACATAACACAATCGAAGAGGATCTCAAGACACAGATCTCTACTCTCGATGTCTTCTACTATAATTTCTAATACACCTGAAATCAAAGAAGCAAGTACACGAAATTTCAAAATTTACATGAAATTGAAAATTAAATCGCATTCAGAGTAAATCAAGTACCTTAAGATTCAATAGTATAAGGTGTTTGCAGCAGGTCATAAGGTGACCATAGGCCATCTAATGGACAAGGGCGATTGGCGTCGAGTCTCGCCCATGGTTTCCCCTTTCCACTCCAATGCAATAGACTAACTGGACCAGGGTGCAAATCCCGACAGAGTCCATGAAAGTTATCTCCACCAAGACCATGTTGGTTCCAGCTGTGATCAACCGGAGCTATATTTCCAGCAAAAACAAGCAGAAAAGGGGGTAAAGATCCCAATTCATAAATCCTCATTCTCTTTTGCAACTCCATCCACTCCACAATCTTAGTAGTATAACCCCCTGCTCTCCATCTCTCTAAATCAATTACCATCACTCCAGTATTAAAATAACAAGGCCTTCGATTTCGATTCGCAAAAGTTAAGGAAAGAGAAGGATTAGACCAAAAAGTTGGCGTGAAGTAAGTAGTAAAATTAGCGTTGCAGTATTCAGGAGCTGCTAAAACAGAGTCCCCTGTTAGAGGCGTTGCTGCTAATTCAGCAATGTCGTCTACTAAAACAAGGTCCGAATCAAGATAAACAACTTTTTGAAGGTGTTGAGGAAGTAGATCAGCAAGATAATTGCGAGCATAATTTAAAGGACAATCTAAAGCAGAGCGAATTGAGGTCGAAATTAGTCCTGCTACAGCTGCAACATCTTGAATTGGATAAATTGTGAAATGAAGATACGGAAATGATTTCGTAATAGTAAGGTTCAAATGCGTGGATTCAGCAGACGAAGAAGCGACAAAATGGAATACAATGTTTTCTGGGCAAGAAGAGTGCTGCAGTACCGAAAGAATAGCAGCCATAGATCCCCGGAGATAAGCTATATCAAGAGTCATAGCGACATGTACTGCATTCACTGAATAATTAATTGAAGAACAACTCGGGGAATTATAGAACTGCGGCGCTTCTTTAAAATGGAGATTGAATTTAGTGCCAGTGATTGCGGTAGTAGTAACATTTTGTTTTGATAAAGAGAAGAAGATGAACAACAAGAGCGGAGGCAGGGTGCTGCCCCCAGATCTCCTAAGTTTAGGCATAATGAAGCAGGGAGACAAATTATAAAACATGGCACACAAATTTACTTATATATATTGTATCACAACTTTCCTTTGCCCCGCATTAATTGTATAAGTATTTAGTTATAACTACAGTAAGAATATAAGATATTTTACTAACCAAGTGCTTAAATAGTATGAATTCAATTAGTCAAATTATGCGTTTTAGACCAACTTATTTATTACTCAGATTCTATTTTCCATTTGGAAATTAACTTCGTAGGTGTGTTTGGATTGACTGTTCAGTTTTGACTTATTTTTATAATTTATTTTGTTATTCTAGCTCTAAATTAAATGCTCATAATGATTGTTTTAAATTTATACAAACATTACAAAACTATTTTAATTCAAAAATACTAAAAATAAGTCAATTCAAATAGGTTAATGATCCGACGATAGTTCAAGCGAGTCCCTTTATTTTATTGGGGCCAGGTGTCCTTTTCTTCCTTAATTTTTGGGATACTCCCGCTAATTGAAAAAATATTTTGTATAAAAAAAAGTTTAAAATAGATGTCGAATTAGATTAACATTTTGTGAGTTTGTTTTTTTATATATATTTTTAAGTTTTTTAAATAAAATACATGATTTTGTCAATATAGCGATAAGATGCAATATTCTTCAATCCAAAATAAGTGAATTTGATGAAAGTTAATTAATTACACTAACTAAAGAGTTATTTGAAATTATTGCCCTTTTACTTTTTCCAAACTTTTGTTAAAAGTAGACATATTGAGACTTGAAAAACTCATTAGAGAGAAGGTTAATTTTTGAAAAAGAATTAATATTCTCTTTGACTTTGAGAAAATCATTTATTTTGAACCTAATAATTAAGTACTAGAAATTCACTTAACTTAAAGTTTATGAATTCTAAATTTTAGGATGGCGACAAAATTAGAATTTAAAGTTTATAAATTCTAATTTTAGAACAACGATATTAAATCTTAGTAATTGAGTTGTGAATAACTTTTATATATGTTTAGTGATTTTTTCAGATAACCTTCCAATTTATCTATAGAGATGTATTAACAAAAATATATTCAATAAAATTTTACGAGTGACGTTGAAAGAGACAATGGAAAATAAACAGAAACTAAGAGGTAAAGATATGCTGTGAAAGTTGAATATGGAAGTGTCACCAATTTGTTAGCTCTTTAGCTGGTCGGTAGTATAGAAGTCCTTAAGGAGAATAACTCCAATGAAATTAATTTCAACGTTGGCTTCTACTCTCTGTCCACTTTTGTTTGTTATGTTAGGTTTTTTTGAAAGTTATTTTGATTAATTTTCTAAGTTAAATTAGATAATATTAATTGTATATTTTAAATAAAAAATTTAGATATGCAAAAACTATATGAAAAATAATATAAATTATAATTTTTGACATATAAATATGTTGAAAAAATACATCATAAAATATTATTCAAAATTCTTATAATTTTTTTTAAAAAAATCAGGATAATTAAATGTGGACGGAGAGGAGAGTAAGTTGGGAAGGTTTCATTGGACTTGTACTATTCTGCAATTTCTATAAATATCGGCATCTCCCATTTAATTGGAAACCTACTCCTAACTTTAGCTATTAAAGCATTAGTCAAATACTCTCTCCGTGTTAATTGTCCATCATATTACAAATAATTATCTCAAATTATTTATTAATTTATAAAATTAAGATATAATTAATTAAATTTTTTCTTTTTTTTAAGTATCCTTTCAATTAATTTAATTTTTGAAGTGTAAACAAATTTGTAAAATTCCAAAAAACAATCATAAGGGGTGAATAAGTAAAATAATTCTTATCTATGATATCTCAAAGGATGTAAAAAAGAAAGTGGACAACTAAAATGGAAACAAAGGGAGTAGTTTATAGTTTATACCTATACTGAAATTTGCCTTATACATGGGCGAATTGAAGAGATGGTAGATAATAAGATAGTCGCCTTTGTTAGGGAGCGTTTTACCCTCAATGTGGAACTTTTCGGCACAAATCCAAATTTAATTGAGCTCCAATGTGAATACCAGACACCGAATGGAAAACCAAAAAAAAAAAAAATCATAAATGGAAATGGAAGTGGAATCTACTATCTAGTCGTAGCAACAAAGTAACAAGTAATAGGGACTTATCGTCTTTATAGCATTAGCTGCATGTCCCATGTGATCCATTACTGAAATATACTATGCTCTTTATTTATTAGTATCCCTAAACGACCTAAGTGCTCTAACCTAAGCTTAAACACAATGCCTTTTTTTATTTCTAGATTATTATTATTTTTCCCTTTACATTTTGGCATATGTTCCTCATTCATTAGTAATTAGTTGATAACAATTAACAACTGTCACAACTCACACGGCAACTTCCTAAGATGTCTTAGAAGGACGACATGAGGTAAAGGAATAAACTTTCATGTGATTATTTTCATTAACGCTAGATTAGACTATCAGTGTCGGTACGAAAAAATTAAATCAATATCAACATCACAATATGTGAAGAGAGCATTGAATGAAAGCTTACTTGTATTATAAGAACAACAATTACAAAAAATAAAACAATAACGTGATGTTGAGTAGTAATTATTAGATCCGTATTAGTAGTGTAGATAGGGTTAATTAAAGGAATAAATAATGCAGTGAAATTGCCATTTAATTTCCCTAATGATGAATAAATGTACTGGAGTATATATTAAATGCCTTTAGATGTTCCAACAGAACTGAAGGGAACTGACATTGATTATTTAGTTTAGCTATCGATCTATCCATTAAACACTTCCAGCTCATTATTAGGAATTAAAATCTTGTCTCTTAAATATAACTATATATCACATCAACTTTCTTTGCTATGCTTTATATTATAACTAGTGAATTTGGTTGCGCGGTTATATAAAGTTATTTAAATTTATTATACCATCTTTTTATGAAAATAAAATTACTTTTAAGCAATATATATTTGAGTAATTGACAAATGCAAATTATATAAAAAATGGTCTCAAATTAAAAAAAAAATGTAAGTTACAAAAATAAAAATAAAAATGAAAAGAACGAATTGAAGATAAAATTACCAATAAAATAAAATAATCAATTTTCTTTTGCCTATAGAAGGTACTACATCGTCACTCCTCCACAAATCAATTTTATACAAATTATAAAAATCAATGAGTTTACCAAATAAAATTCATACGATATCAAAATGAATTCATTCATCAAATTATCTAAGGATCACAAATAAAAGTATTTTTATTTATAATTTCTTTGTTATATGATATACCAACACATAGTTGATAAAGTTGTGAAGTATAATGTCTACAAATTTTAGTCTTTTAAGTGCTTACTAATATTTTTAATGTATATTAACACATAGTATTGATAAATTTGTGAAGTATAATGTCTACAAATTTTAGTCTTTAAGTGTTTACTAATAATTTTAAGTATTCAATTAAATATTTTAATTATATAATATTGTATACAAAGTACTTATCAAGTTTGTGAAGTATACTTTTTGAAAATTTAATCGTCATTAATATATTTATATGCATCTAACCCTAGGTTCTTTTATTTGAGTTTTATATTATAAAACATGAAATAAACTAAAAAAAAATAAAAAATGATACAATCTAGTTTCTTTTTTATTTTAGTTTTTTTTTTCTTTTTCCTAACACGTTAATTATGCGCCTTTCTTATTTATAACTTTTTTTTTTCAAAGTTCTCTCAAAATAGAAGTCATTTTCTTTCATATTCTACTTTATTTCTTATTATTTTTATACAAAAATGATTGTGTCAATTACTACTCCTTCATTTATTTATATACTTCAATATAAAAATTAAATTATTTTTATTTCATAACTCTCATGACTTTTGATAATTATAACTCCTAAATTATATATATATATATATATATATATATATATATATATATATATAAAAGCATTACAAAATTTATTTACAATATATTTTTTAAATTATTTTTATCATTATATTATTATTGTTATTTTATTTTGTTACAGTATATATATACTCCAACATAATTTTTCTTTTTTTCTCCATTCCTTTGGTACTTTTTTTTTATTTCTCCTCTTTATGTACTAACTAATTAAATTAATAAATGTTTTATTCTTTGTAAAAACCAATCCACGTATATTAGAGAAGTGATCTTCTAATTCTGCCCATGACTATGAATTGAATTTGTATGACAACTTAGAAGTCATTTCCTTTCTTATTCTACTTATAATGAATTAAAATTAAAATACCCTCTTTTTTTATTTTAAATAATATTTCATGTCATTTAAATAATTTATTATTATTCTCTATAAATTTAGGGATAATATATATGGAACATAGTAAGATTTATATATGGAATAAAATAAATGGATCATTCTTTAAATATCAAATTTTAATTTGGTAATATTATATATATGGAACAAAATAAATGAATCATTCTTTGGATTTAAATTTTAGTTTGACAATATTATATATATGGAACAATGTAAGACATATATGGAACAAAATAAGACTTATATATGGAACAATATAAATGAATCATTCTTTGTATATTAAATTTTAATTTGACAATATTATATATATGGAGCCTTTTCTTTTTCTTGACATCTTTATTTTTCTTATCCCTCTTTATTTGTTTTCATTTTTCTTTCTCTCCCGTAGTACTTTATATATTTCCTTTTTGTCTTCTCTTAATGTTAATCAAAATCCTTCAATATTAATTTTTTCTTGAAATATTGTCACTTATTTGTCATACAAATTCAAAATATTCCAATGAAAAAAGAAGAAGAGGACAAAAGAAGAAAAATAACAATATTCATATAAGGGTTTGAGTTGAAAATTATACCTATCAAATTAGTCGTAGATTCAGACTAAAACTTCTTCAAAAGTTCAATTCTCGCATCTTCTCTTCTTCTTGCTTTACTCCCGGCAAATTTCAAATGCTTAGTAGTAGCCCGGTGATGCCTTTTGTTTATATCACATAAATGATGTTTGATATCTTAAAAGGTGATCAATGAAGAGTTATT